CCCAAGCCACCCCTCACTTCCACCATCAGCATCAAAGTGCTCAGTATCAGACCCCGCTTCAACAACACACATCATCGACTTTCCACCACGCTTCTGGTTCATCTCAGCCTGTTAGACCCCCACCACCTGTCTACACTCCGGTGGGTGGTCGGGTTAAGAGGAATCCGCGAGGAGTTGTCCAGCGGGCTCGTGAAGAAGGAGGAGGTAGAGAAGGCGGAAGAAGGGGTCGAGGAGGTCGTGGAGGAAGAGGAAGAGGAAGAGAAGGGGAAGTGGAGGAAGAGGGAAATGAAGAGAACCAGTGAACTATTTATGTCGTCTTAATCAGTGTTTGGTCTTGTGTTGTTTTTCCATGAACTATCTATGTCGTCTTAATTATGTTTGGTCTTGTTTTGTTTTTCCATGAACTATCTATCTCGTCTTAATTTGGTTTGGGATTGTGTTGTTTTCCATGAACTATCTATCTCGTCTTAATTTATTTTGAGATTGTGTTGATTTCCCCCCATGTTGTACCAAAGTAAACAACAAACACCATTCATTACAATCACTCAACAAGATTAAAACAAGAAGTCCAACTTAAACATCACAACAACGAAAATGAAAGTGAACAAAAGAGTACTCAAGGTTGGTTTGTACTTGGCCCCGAATCTTTCTCTAGAGGTGGACCTGGACAACGCCTCTTGTCATGACCCGGTTGTCTGCACTTTGAGCAACGCTTTGGACCTCGTCGGGCACGTTGTGATTGATCCATTTCATTGTGAATCCTTTCGGTCCTAGGACGACCTTTGGTGCGCTTTAAGTGCAACGGTGGTATAATCAACTTCCCAGTGTCTACCGGCCAATAAGCTTCATCCGGCAGGGGGCTGAAACTTGACGAGTAGGAGTTCCTAATCGCCTGTTCCGTGTAGTAAGGACTAACCAAACTGTAAGCGCTGAGGGTTATCGACTTAGCTACTGCCATTGCATGTGAACAAGGTACTCTTCTGTTTTGATACTTTTGGCATGTACACTCTCCGGTGCGAGTTTCTACGTGTAGAGTAACGGATTGACGATTATGCCCACGTCTTCCTCCACCCCATATACCTGTCATCACAGCAAAAACACCTTCATTGCGGTTGAACAGAATAACCCTGTGCTTACTTAATTTCTCCTCGATCTTCTGCATGCCATCAAATATATGATGTGCTATTGAATGACCGGCACGCTCCCTCCCTATAGCGAGCTCCCGTCTCTTCACAAACCACTCGTTTACCTTCCAGTATGTCATCTCCACTAGGACAGATACAGGCATTGCCCTAATGCCCTTGTAGACTCCATTTATGCTCTTGCCATGGTTGGTAGTTGCAATGCCGAATCTAGCCCCGTTGTCCATATGAAATGTCCACATGTGCAGATCTTGACCTTCTGCCCATATTGCTCCCGCCCGGTGTATCTGACGGATCGTCTTCATCTTCTGCTCGTACTTCTTTGGTTGATGTGCAACCACTACAAGACCAGAGAATAAATAATTAAGCCATAAGAAATTTCATTTCAACAATATGGGCAAGAAGAATCGACTGAACTACATTACTACCTGCACTCCACAATTGATCTCTTATGTCTTTCTTCTTGCCAAATTTGTGTTGGATTTTGGCAAGGAAGTGACGAATACACCAGCGCCATGTCCATCCCCATTCGTCGGGAAAACCATTGACGGCGTGTTTAATCCCGGCATGTCGATCCGATATAATTGTAATACCCATTCTTTGTGTGACGTGGGCGTGTAGCTGGTCAAAGAACCATGCCCAGCTTAAGTTGTTCTCCCCTTCAACTAATGCAAATGCTAAGGGGAAAATACTTAAATTTCCATCAACCCCAGTTGCAATGAGAAGAGTTCCTTTATACTTCCCAGTAAGGAAAGTTCCATCAACCTGTTAAAAATGAATAATTAGTTACTAAAAATTTTACTTAGTAAGGTAATGAACTAGTACAATATTTTGAGTCCCGTAATATACCTGAATCACTGGCATGCAGAAGGGGAACCCGTCAATGCATGGTTTGAATGTCCAGAACAGACGATGAAACATCAACTCGTTCTGTACACGAACTTGATCTTCAGTTTGCACGTTGTTGTACCACGGCACGAATACCGTCCCAGGGTTGGACTCCTCCATTGCGGATATTAGTCGAGGGAGTAAAGCATACGAGTCATCCCAATCACCGTAGACCTCAGCCATGGCCTTCTGCTTCCCATGCCACGCCTTCTTATACCTTATGGTGTAGGAATGTCGATCCTTCACCTCGGCCATAATAGCTTTTATCTTGATATCCGGTTGTGCCTCGATTAGGTGCTTAATGGTTCTCGCCACCTTTTTTGCTTTCAGTTGCCAGTGATCCTGTGAAAGTATGGTTGAGGAGCATCTGTGGTTGTTCTCTACTGTTCGCATGACCCAGACGCCCTTTCTCTTCATATATGCAGCCCGAAGTTGCCACTCACAACCCTCTCCAGCATTCTTACAAATGACATACAATTGTTTGGTGTCAGAATATTTTACCTTCCATTCAAAGTTACGGCGCATGGCTTCTTCGCTAAAAGCATCTTGCACATCGGCTTTCGAAGTGAACGCCATACCCACTTCCAAAGGAGCAGTCGGATTATACACAGGCATGGGCTGATAGTCAGGGGCTGATAGTAAGGTGTTGGTGCCTGACGGAACGCCACCTCTCTGTCATCGATATCGTCTATCTCGTCCGTATCTTCCTCCTCACTGACTGATCTCAAATCTTCCTCACTTTCATCGTCACTAGAGGCGAATGGATAGCTCCACTCAGGATGGTCATCGTTGCCAGCATAACCAACATCGTCTTGTTGGTCATGCGAAGAACGCCCAGATCGAAGGTTGTTCCCAATGTCAGCCCACTCTGGACCCCAAGCAGGCCATTGATCACCGTCGGGCTGAACGATATTGACGGCCGTCTCAGTTGGTTGCACGTATTCTTCCCAACCACCACCTTCTTCATAACTACCTCCTCCGTAGTTGCTTGAAGTACCACCCCAGCCATACCCTCCTGCAGAAGTACCTCCTTCGTAGTTACTTGAACTACCACCCAAGCCATACCCTCCTGCAAAACCATCATCACAATAATACTGGTGAGAATGAGTTTCACCGACTGGCTCGGTCTCGACATACACCTCTGCAAGCCGCAACCCGTTGTCAGATAGGAACTGTATCATCATGTTCACCGAGTCATCATCGTTTATGACAACTTTTTCGTACACAACTCCGCCAGCACTCATGTTTGGATAGCGGTAGGCAATTTGACCAACTCTCATTTGCCCGCCCGTACAAGTCCTTTCTGCACAAATGTCATGAAGTTCTTGCCACGAGAATCTCGACTCAATTTTTAGCATAGTAGATTCGCCATTTTCATAGTCGATGCCAATGTTCGAGTTTGTCACCCGACCATTCCACCGAATAATAAGCCGAAACTTCTTAAATTTAACCATGTCTGCAATTTATAATAAATAAGTATAGTATATAATTAGTACATTAGGGATACAAAAACAATATCATCCAAACCTATAAACAAACGCATATAATTGATCTATCATGAGAAAACTAAACAAATTCATCTAAATTCATAACTAATTCACTACTATCATATCACAATTAATCTAAATATATCATAATATATTTTCCAATAACCGCAATTCACTATATACAGACATATAATTACTAACACATCAACATGTAAACATTACATAATTATAACATACCGAATCCCGACGAGTTTCTTGAGCAGTAAACCAACTCCAAACCAGCTGAGAAAACGACTAATAAAACACTAATTTTTGTACTAATTTTCTGTAAAGTAGCAATAGGGGAACTGGAGGTCAGTATTTATAGAAATTTTTTTTTGCAATCACCGCCTTGGACCAAAACAGTGATGTGTTCACCGCCATTGTCCTCAGCGGTGATTGCTTGGTAGCTGTGACCAAATTTCCACCTACCAGGGCGGTAAAACGTGTCAATTATCACCGCTTTACACATCAGTGATGATATCATCGCTTTGCACATCACCGGTGATAAGGTCTCCTTTCACCGCTTTAAACCAAAACGGTGATTGCATCACCGTTTTGGTATAAAGCGATGATGCTTTCATCTCTTTTGACCAAGACAGTGATGCAATCACCGTTTTGGTCCAAAACGGTGAAAGGATCATCGCTTTTGTCCAAGACAGTGATAGCATCACTGTTTTGGTCTAAAGCGATGATACTATCACCGTTTTGGTCCAAAACGGTGATTGCTTTCACTGTCTTGGTTTGCAGCGGTGATAACCAAACTGCTGTATTTTGGGAAATAATTTTATAAGTACTGTATTTTGGGAATTTTTTTTAATAATAAGTGTATTATGGGATTTTTTCCTGAATTTAATTGGCTTCCACTAAAGGAAAAATCACTTTCAATCACGGGATTTCCCATGACAAAACAGTCAATTCCCGTGACGGAAAGTTTTTATTACGGTATATTCTCGTGTCAAATTCTTTTATGAATTATGATACAACCTAAACTTATACAATTAATAGTATAGTGCAACTTCAAGTTATACATTAAAATACCAATACTTGTATAAAGCATAATAGAAATACTGATATTATAAATGTCTTTAAAAGTATCCTCTAGCAACAAATATGTAAACTGCCCCTAAAATTTAAATAACTTGAAATCACGAATATAATGATGCAAAAGATTTCTATAACCAAAAACTGGAAGAATACATAGTAGCATGGGCAAGAAATTATAGTTTCTGCTTGTAACTGGGTTCACAAACCCTGAAACCTTATTGGATGCAGATAACTATAGAAAGTAGACCCTAAACACAACCACAGACAATAACAACAAGAAAAAGGATAGGAGAAAAATACAAGAAAGAAATATACAAAGCTAATTAACAGATCAATATGAACAGGAGGAGAGGAACATACACACATCTACACGTATACATAGATATATAGAGTGAAGTCAGCGAATCATCTTGTACCAAATGGAGCAATCAGCGAGCTCAATCCTAGCGTCATGGGTGTGACCACAATTGTCATTGAGTTTGTTCTTGGCAGTAACCAGACATGACCAGCAATCCAGTTTCCAAAGCTGCCTATCACAAGTGGCACCACCAATGACCGAGCCGTTGTCGCGATTGGGGTAGCTGTGGACATAACTATAATCGTTGTAATTCTCATGTTTCACATTTTTCGTCTCGTCCACCATAATGTCGATGAGACGTTCTACTCTTTTGTTGTACGCTATATCATCTGATTTGCCAACGCAATCTGGTCCCCTGATAATGCTCTTCACTGGAAGTCTTGCTTCAACAACAGGAGAATGCAATTGCGGGAGGGATCATCCCACTGTATGTCTGTATGTAGCGTAGTGTCCCTAATTAATTCAGCGTCGATGATTCATACAATTCTGCCGCTCGTACGGACTATCTATCTCAATCCTATAAAGGCCAACCACAAAAATACTTCTTTTCCAACATATATTGATATTATTTGGATAAATGTATTCAAAAGCGCGCTTCTATGTAGAAGCGTTTTGATGATTTGGAAGCGTAAAACCGTAAGCTTTTAAGTTTTAATTAAAGTGCGTTTTTAAATACATTTGTTGATCGTAACGGTATATCGAAACAGAAAGCGTAAATCGACACCAGGAGTTACGTGGTTTCCCCGTTCAGTATGAACGAGACTAGTCCACGGCCGAAGCTATAGTATCGTATTATTCAGCTTAACTTCGACAGGTCTGGTTACAAGCATATATATACAAGCTAGAGAAATAACCCTAGCTCCAAACCCTAGCTATCTCGGCCAGTCTATGCAAATCCCATACACCCGAGCTACATATGGGAATGGGCCTAAAGCCCACGTTACATTACTCAATAGCCTCCCCCAAATTGATGAGGATCCCTCATCATCAATTTGCGAGAAAGGTAGAAATGACGACTGGCGGAGAAGGACTTGGTCAGTAAATCAGCAATCTGATCTTCGGATTTGATATGAAATAGACGGAGAATGCCATCAAGAACCAAGTCACGGATATAGTGCAAATGAACCTCAATATGCTTCGTCCGATCGTGGAGCACCGGATTCTGTGCGATCTGGATAGCACTAGTATTGTCGACATAAAGCTGGAGAGGAAGACCACAGTCAACCCCAAGATCACCAAGAAGACGACGTAACCAGACGAGTTCTGAAGAGACATCAGACATGGCCCTGTACTTGGCCTCAGTAGAAGATTTCGAAACCCGATCTTGTTTCTTACACCTCCAAGAAATGAACGAATCACCTAACCTCACACACCAACTGGTGGTAGATCGCCGCGTGTCCACACACCCGGCATAGTCGGAATCGGAGAAAGCCTGTAGAACAAAGGAACCCGAGGAAGGAAGAAATAACCCGACCTCCCTAGTACCCTGCAGGTACCGCAAAATCCGATGAACAGCAGCTAGATGATCAGTACGAGAAGCGGACATGAACTGGCTGACAATCTGTACCGCATAAGCAATATCGGGGCGAGTAGAAGTCAAGTATATCAGACTACCAACAACACTGCGGTAGTGCTTACCCCCGTCGGACAAGAGCTCGCCGGACTCCCGCCCAAGCTTGAGGTTCATCTCCATGGGAGTAGATACAGGCGTACACTCAGCAAACCGGGCTGTCTCAAGAAGATCAGCAACATAACGAGTCTGACAAAGAAGAATACCAGCTGAGGAACGCTTAACTTCCAGCCCAAGGAAGTAATCAACAAAGCCGAGCTCTTTAAGATTGAAAAAGGCGTGGAGACCATCAGTAAGGGCTGTAATTCCTGCAGAATCATCACCAGTAATGATCATATCATCAACATAAATCAGTAACACTACTAGACCAGCACCAGTGTTGCGTGTAAACAACGATGGATCGTTGAGGCTTTGCTGAAACCCAAGAGTCAGAATGGTGGAGTGAAATTTGTCGAACCAGGCACGCGGAGCCTGTTTCAAACCATAGAGAGATCGACGGAGCAAGCAGACCTGATCCGGGGTACCACGAGTATATCCAGGAGGCCGTTCCATGTAAACAGTCTCCTTGAGCTCCCCGTGCAAAAAAGCATTCTTAACATCAAGCTGGAAGAGTGGCCAACCCCGCATAGAGGCCACAGCTAACAAAGATCGGACAGTCACCATTTTTGCTACAGGGGCAAAAGTTTCTTCAAAATCGATACCATACTCCTGACAAAACCCTTGAGCCACCACACGTGCCTTAGAACGCTCAAGAGATCCATTCGGTAAGTACTTCAAAGTATAAACCCAGCGAGACCCAATTACTGGCACTGTAGGTGGAGGACGGGGAACTAAATCCCACGTATGATTAGCTTCCAAAGCTTCAAACTCAACATCCATAGCCCGATCCCAAAGGGGATTACCCTTGGCCTGAGAAAACATGGTGGGAATCGGAATAGGATCCACACTATAAGCCATATAGTCCTGGTAGCGTAGGGGTGGCAACCCACGAGTCGTGCGAAGAGAGCGAAGAGGAGGTTCAGCAGGGGGCGGGGAGTCATCATCATCCGAGGAACTTGACGAACTTGACACCTGCGGATCGACTGGTGGAGGCGAGTCGGGTGGTAGCTGCACGGCTGGTGGAGGCGAGTCGGGGGGTAGCTGCAGGTCGAGAGTAGCATCCTCATCATCCTCGGCAAAGGTAGGTGGTGGTAGTGACAGGTCAAAAAGAGATGGTTCAGTCGAGGAATGGGAAGTTTGATACATTAAATTCTCAACAAACACCGCATGACATGCAATCCGGATGCGACGAAGCGTAGGATCAAAACACAGGTAACCCTTATGGATATCACTATAGCCAAGAAAACAACAACGGGCAGTTTTGGATGTGAGTTTGGTGCGCTCTGATCGAGCAAGAAGAACAAAGCAGACACACCCAAAGACACGGAGACGAGAGTAGGGTGGTGGTTTGTGAAAAAGACGAAAATATGGACTAGTTTGGTCGAGAACAGGTGTGACTTGATAGTTGATGAGACGGACAGCGGTAGCGACGGTCTCAGGCCAGAAAGAGGAGGGTACACAGGAGGAGAGTAAGAGCGCAGGAGTGACTTCCAAAACATGACGATTCTTCCGCTCAACTAAACCATTTTGTTGAGACACCCCAGGACACGATTTTTGAGACAAAATACCCATAGACTTATACAGACCTAACAAGGGACCGGAACTGAGTTCTCCTCCCGGATCAGATCGAACTACACGAACAGTCCTATCAAACTGAGTTTTAATCATGGCAAGGAAGTCGGTAGCAACAGTTAAAAGGTCGGATTTTAGGCGGAGGAAGTAGACCCACGTGTATCTAGTTGCATGATCAATGAATAATGCAAAATATTTAAAACCGAGGCGTGAGGTAGCGGGACTAGGTCCCCAGAGATCAGTATGGATCAAGTGAAAGGGCTCTGTGATCAGTGTGAGACTAGAAGGAACTGAGATACGAGTGGTCTTTGCCTCAATGCAACTGGTACAAGCAAAATCCGAAGAAGAAGGAACTGAAGTAGAGTTTCCAAATAACTGTTGTTTAAACATAGTCATAAGATGACTTGAATTTGGGTGACCTAACCGAGCATGCCACAATTGAAACTTTTGATCAGAAAGACTCAAGAAAACAGGAAACGAGGAACTAGAAGACTCAATAGCCAAGGATCTGGAGGATGATGATGGACGCAGCTGCTCAAGAAAAAATATCCGACCCCTCTTGCTACCCCGACCGATCTCCCTCCCTGTCTTCTGATCCTGAACAAAACAGCCAGAAGGTGCAAACGTAACACGATAGCCTTGGTCAGTAAGCTGACCAACAGAGACCAAGCTCGGAACAAGACGAGGCACATGATAAGTTGAAGGCAAAACAATATCCGAACTCTGAATTGATCCCATACCAGTAACATGCAATTTATCACCATTTGCAACTTGCACAGAAACATCATCAATAGGGCATACATGTTTTAGATTCGTAGCATTACCAGTCATGTGATTAAAACAGGCTGAATCAAGTATCCAAGAGGGAGCCTTACCCGATATCTGAAGACTAGCGAAGGCCGACGAAATGGCTTTGTTCACCATTTGTTCAAGAGTGGCCGGTGATACAACCACAGTCTCGGAGACTGGCGCGGGACTGGTAGCGTACGCGGGACGCGCAGAGGAAGAAGACCCACTGCTACGACCACCTCCACGTCCATCGGCCTCGCGATTCCTTCCTTCGAGGGCGGGACAATCCGGGATAATATGTCCCGCCTTTTTACAATACACACAAAAGTTCCTCTTCCTGCAATATTTCTTAGTGTGGCCTTTTTCTTTGCAATGAAAACATTCAACATCATTACCATTTACGCGGCGTTGAAAAGGAGCTCGATACGCCGCGAACACCGCATCATCATGAGCATCGGCCTGCTCGCGCAAGCCTCCCCGTGGTGCCCCACCTCCAGCAGCTGTTGGAGTCGCGCTAAACACAGCGCTGCCATCACCAGTCCCAGGCGGCACGTCGAGAACGGCCTGAGTACGCAGACGCGTCTCCTCTTGGACCAAGGAGATGAGCACCACTTCAGCTTTGAGATTCTCACGATTCAGAAGAGAAGCTCGAATGGGTTCAAATTCCTTATTGGGGCGCATGAGAAATTGCATCATCCGCATCCTCTCGCGTTCAGCCCGAACCTCCACCGAGCCTGCTGGGGTGAGAAGAGATGCAGCAACCAAGTCTTGTTCCGTCCACAGGTTCCGAGTTTCGTTGTAGTACGTCGTCACATCCATGCTGCCCTGGTGAAGTCGTGCCAGCTCCACCTCAATCTCAAACTGCCTAGAAGCAGTGGCAGTCCTATAGGTCTCGGCCAAATAATTCCACATGGCCGCAGCAGTAGGGAGCATTCTAAGACCCAAAATAATTTAGCCATCCACCGAATTAAGGAGTTGATGCCTAACCTTTGCATCGTTCATCACCCATTGAGAGACCTCCTGCGCCGAAGAGGGCGGCGACGTCGGTCGCGGAACCGAACCATCGAGCCAACCCATCAGCCCCTTTCCTTCAATCAGCGTCCGAAACTGGAACTCCCAGACTGCATAGTTCTTGGAGTTCAGGCGTGCAGTAATCTGTTCAGAAGACATAGGCTCTGATACCATGTTGATTGTAACGGTATATCGAAACAGAAAGCGTAAATCAACACCAGGAGTTACGTGGTTTCCCCGTTCA